TCTAATTGTCTCCTTACAGACAGCCACAGTTCCTCTATCAGTCATATCCAGCCTTAAGTTTTCTAAACGCCTTCGTTTGTTTTTAGAAACAAGAATACCAAGCCGCCTCCTGTCACCGACAGTCAATTTTCTGGGCCTACCTGCGCCTCCCTGGTGCTCAATGCCATATCCATTTGCAATATTTTTCAAAACACGATAAACAGTGGACAAAGGGATGCCTGTTCTACTTGAAATCACTTTAGCTGATCTGATGTCCTTGTTATAATACTCTGAAATCAACTTCCTCTTCTCTACATCATCCATACTGAGGATCACTGAAATGTCGTCTGCTAGCAAGTAAACAAAGGGGGATAACTCTTCACAAACTAATGAAAGAGGATTAACGGAGTTGTCTCTCTTGAATGAAACCAAGCACTTATAGCTGGTCAAGGTTGTTTATACTAGAAATCCAATTAAACATATTCCTAAAATTCTCAATATTTTCTGGTCATACTATAAAATATAAATGTACAGGCAGATACTGTTTCAGTGTTTACAAACAAACATGATGTTGCCATTGTCTACGCGTCTGTATAAATAGTACAACACATAGAAACCATACATACCAATAATATTATTAACCCAGTAACGACGTGGACCTAATATATTATCTATTAACCCAGTAGCGAAGTAATAAAATAAATGCCTAAAAAAACTGCCTAACAAACCTACTGAGCATAGGACCCGTGATGATCCGGGTTAGAATTGGCCTGCAGCAACCCGTGCTTGTCATAAGAGGCAACTAACGGGATCGGGTGGTCAGCTTGCTTGACACATGTCATCGTATCCCAATTGCGTAGATGGATGCTCATGATGTTGATCACTGGATCATCTCGTCCAGACTCGATTATTTACAGACCACCGACATATAACATAAATATTGCTGAGTGCGGCGTTAAACGACAAAAGAACAAAGGAATACACGAAGCTTATTGTCTCTGATGCTGTTCACTGGATTGGCTGGTCCAGACTCGTTTATTTACAGACCACCGCTGCACTTATATCAGAAACTTGGTTGACTCCATTGACAGTGTATCTTACACTGCAACATAGTAGACTGACCGACTGAGTTTAGTTTTACGCCGCTTTTAGCAATATTCCAGCAATATCACGACGAGAGACACCAGAAATGGGCTTCACACATTGTACCCATATGGGGAATCGAACCCGGGTCTTCGGCTACCCCACCGCCCCGCAACATAGTAAAACCAACCACTGATGAAACCCAACTATACACGGTATAATAATGTCAGTAAGTTTTTTTAACGGTCATAAATTTAAAAGACAATGTAATTCACCAATGAAAAGTGTTATCTGCTTGAACACAGCACAGCGCGTCAATGACCATGGAAACCTTCCCATAGAAGAAAGCTTGCCTTGATCGACCAGTTTAAGCTTATTTCTTCCTGATCGTATTTCAGGAAGAGATCTATTGCTTTTCGTGTTCATGTTAAAGCGTTAACAGATCGAAATATCAGATAAACCGAACGACACCGGTTTGAAACAGATAATAATATTTAGATACATGTATATCGTATTTCAGAATGTCATGTTTGCATATTGTCTGTATACGTTTTAGGCTAGGCCTCAATGGTTTATTAATCAGCCGAGGAAGATATTTATCTGTTGTAAAGGCCCAAAGATTCTGTCCATTATGTATTATGTAAGAATGAACGAATTAATAATGAAGATGATTTTTTATGTTATGTTTATTTGTTCTATGAAAACAATCGCTTTTGTATCTTATGTCAATGTTAAATCACTCGATTCATGTCATCAAGGAACCTATAAACAACACCGAGTAGCCCTCTCACATGTAATTGGCATCCGTTTTTGTTTAGAAATTTATTGCTATCCTAAATTTGATAATGCATGTATATGTAACGCCTTTGTATGTGCTTATGGCTTTTCATGCAATAAAGATTTGAACTGACTTGATCAGGCAATGCCTGATATATGCACACCACTTTTTGAAATAATCTCTGCAGCTTAACGGCATGAGTGATGCGACAATGTAATCTTTATCCACACCCAGTAACCAGTAGCATGTTTTTAGTGTTTGAGTAACCATCGTTTATGGAATTGTCTGTAATTATGCTTTAACAAATCGCAGAACATACCGACGATAATATCATCCAATCTTAAGCTTCATATCGGTTTGTGAGTTATTTAAGCACACATTGCCACAGGCCCACAGATATGATCATTATGCTTCTGGTATGCAAGTTAATGATGATTTTAATGGAGAAGCATGTACAATATAGAACGATTATAATTGGGCTCTTGCCTTTCAAGTATGGCGCTCTAAAAACGCCAATTCAACTGAATGTTAAAATCAGGTGCTAGTCACAATGGCTTTTCAAGTATCATTGTTATCCTTGCGTTGTAAGCTGCATATTACCGGGGGCATTGTTTTGTTATTAAAACGCTCAATGTATGACACGCACAGAATGTTCACAGGCTTGTCACGCTCCATCACCTCTATACACAATCTCGACATGAGTGAGTAAGTGAGTTTAGTTTTACGCCGCACTCAGCAATATTCCAACTATATGGCGGCGGTCTGTAAATAATCGAGTCTGGACCAGACAATACAGTGATCAACAGCATGAGCATCGATCTGCGCAATTGGGAACCGATGACGTGTCAACCAAGTCAGCGAGCCTGACCACCCGATCCCGTTAGTCGCCTTTTATGACAAGCATGGGTTACTGAAGGTCAATATTCTAACCCGGACCTTCACGGGTCATCTCGATATGAATCGTATTTATGTAGTTAAATGACTCGAGCCATGAAATACAAATAATTACGTACAGAAATATGGTGACACCTGTTTTCAATATCTACTCACTGAAACTGACACATACCGAATAGTTGAACAATTACAAATGACGTATCTAAGTGATTTGTTGCATTTCACTTGTGTATTTTGAGGTGAGATTTTTATAAAAAAAAATATTTGTCTGTCTACCAAGAATAGTAACTAATAGATTAATTCCATAAAGAAAAATGTTTTGCTATTAATTCACTCCTAAATAGGACAAACCTGAAAACAAAACTGGCTTCTCAACAAAAACAATGAAAAGAAAAAAATACAGAATTTCAAGTTGAACCTTGGTTATAATTACCACACCCGATATCATGAAAAATAAATAAACCACTTCTTGAGATATAGCGCAAACCAGTTGTTTGGACGGACAGACTGACGGACGGACGCTACATGCGCGTTGTTGGATAAAAAAAAGGCCAAAAGGTAAAACTTCCTTGAATAGGACATAATGAATACAACTCATATAACCATTTACGTAAAAGTACTATGACGAATAAAATGATTTCCTTGGATACTGTCGAACACAGATTATGATATCACGTATCTCTATACAATGTGTATTACACATGCATTGGCTTTACTTTGATGTTATGTGACTTCAAAGATCAGATTTTAATTAAGTTAGAAATGAGGTTACTTTTGACAGAAATATTGCAATAGCTTAGGCATTTTGAAAAACAATAAAGTAAAGTTTCTTAAAAAAATGAATTTCAGTCCCCAAGACTTATAAACAACAATAAAGTTGTATTTTACAGATTCCGTTAATCTTTTACAAATTGCGTTAAAACTTGTTTTTACATTTTGCGTTAGGTGTTCACATATTGCGTTAAAGACATTTTTTACATTTGGCGTTAATTTTTTACATATTTCGTTATTTTTTACGTTTTGCGTTACGTTTTTACATATTGCGTTAGTTTTTACATATTGTTTTGATTTTACATGTTGGGGTTGTACAGGCCCTACCTATATAAAAAGGTCAAATTTCTACGTGACGCGTTTGTCAATATTTAGGTGAGATTTACTTTCTATTTAACTAATAAAGAATTGATGTCTACTTCAGAATTGATTACTAGTACTGTTGAGAGTCGTGTGCAGCCTTCAATGATTTACTCTGAACCTATTTGGGAGGGGCGGTTGGGTAGGGGAGGGGCGTTCGCTCGCCACATGGGTACAATGTGTGAAGCCCATTTCTGGTGTCCTCTGCCGTGATATAGCTGGAATATAGCTAAAAGCGGCGTAAAACCCAACTCACTCACACATTCTCTGAACCTACTTGGTGCTGGGCGAAACAAATGCCTTAAACGCCAAGGTCAGAATCTTGAGAAATTCATGCAGCTCTTAACTCTCAATGACATCTGAGATTCAAGTAAAATATACATGCATAAAAAAACTGGTAGAGAGGAGTGAGAAGGAGGGAAGGAGGAAAAAGAAGAAAAGAGTACGAATGGGGAGCAAGAAACGAACAAGGAGAAAGAAAGAAAAATAGTTATTGAGATAGTCATATAGATAGTTATAGTCAGATACAGAGTTATAGCCATAAAGTACAGCAATTTTCTCATTTGAAATAAAGTATAAAGTAATCACTCGTATATAACAGAATAGATATATTTTGGACTTACATTTTCTCAGTTAAGTATAGATTCTAGTACTTGACAAAAGTACCAGAATCTGTACTATACTGAGATAGTGTAATCCCAAATATAACACTTGTTACATTTGACCGCTTTCTAAATGGCATAACCACACATTCATGTGACATAGAGTGAAAAAACCCATCACACCAGACTGTAATTGACGGCACTTAGGGTTATAAATGGGAAGACTGGATCAAGGGGTCAAACACTTCAGTTCACTTTCTGTATTTTTCGTACGGTTTTGCTACAGAAGTTATTTTTATGAACAAAACCCTACTATGAAACAATGTAGACAACATGACTGCCATCCGCTGAATCAACACATATAATCACGCAAGGAAAACAGTTAAGAAAGCAACAACAGCGATCAGATTCTATTAGTACAGTACTTACACGAGCCATGTCTTAACTAACTCTGTATCGTGTTTCAGTTGCTGTGTTAAATGACGTAGCCATTGTACGAGGTATTATTTGGAAAAGCCAAAGCTCAGCGTGGTTGAATTAGAAGATAAAGCTACTCTGTATTCAATTTTGCTGTCCTTTCTCGTTGATTTAAGACCGCTAAATGTAATTTAAAAACCGAACGCGTGGAATCGTCCCGTTGAGGGACAGGTTGTGTAATGAACAAAATGAGACATTTTCAACAACATAAATGCATTATTTCAGGAACCAGTATGCTTGTATTTGTAACAAGTAGCATACATAAATAAAACAAAATACAGTTTATACTGTGAGCAAGTACAATTATTTGATTTTTCTCAAGCGAATTATTGATCTCCCCTACTGTATGACAATCGACTCGTCCCAATTCAAGCCGTGAGGTCGCTCAGTCTAAGTAAACTTAGTCTCAGTACTATTCGTTACACTCCTCTACTGGGTAACGAATAATACTGAGGCTAAGTTTACTTAGACTGTGAGGTCGCTAAGTTTAGTCGCCGCTAACTTTATTCACGGAAATTTTTAATAACTGTTGATAACCACCGTACTATTCCCAATTTGGAAAATACCTGACATGCCACGTTTTATGTGGGATACGTGGACAGTGGAAGTGAAAGGACTGGGCATTACGGCCGGGACGGAAGCGGTCTGGTTAGGACGTGTGGGCCGACGTGTGTTGTCGACGTCAACACAGGTAGATCTGGGCCCGGTTTGAATATATACGGACGCTTTTGCGCTGCTGACGGATTTTCCAGCTTCGTAGTTTCTTCACTGGGATTAGGTTCAAGAAATTCTCTTTCAAACCATTCGCTTTTTACTTTAAAAAACCCCCCAAAGATGCTGCCGAGATAGAAATTGCCGATGTCCGACATGTTTGTTTACAAACAATAGGGTCAACGAGTTCGTTGTATTCATACGCGGTGAATCGGTAACTTTAATTACCGGTGTTAAACTGCCATTTAAGAACGGTTTTGATGAGCTCTCAGCCAATCAGAATCGAGTATCACACAATGTCGCGCTAGAATGGAGCACATTCTTTGGTTGCATTACATATTACTCGAACCGCATGTTTTGGTAACCCTTGGGACGTAATGTGTCTTGAGAGAATTATTAATGATTTATTTTTGTATGTTAATGATTAAAACTTATGTATTTCACAAAAGAAATGTGAACTGGATTGGTAAACTAATGCTAAAACAATTCCAGATTACAAACTCATAATAATACTATCTACACAATCATGGTTTGCTGTATACTTGACAACAAAAGTTTCAAAAGTGAAATTCAACACTAAATAATAACATTGTTCCAAATTTTACAAATGGTAAATCTTCCAGGTTTTAACAGGTTTTTATAATAAGATTACCATAGCTGTTACAGATGGACACAAAATTGGTAAATCTTCCAGTAATCTATACAAATATTATCTGCACTGATGATATTAAGATTAGTAGTTAAGAACACACAGAGAATTCAACATCTTGTTCATAACTTAAAAGATTTTCTAAATGTTTAAGTCATGTAACGCTCGAAACCTTCTACAAATAATCTTAAGTCGGTTTCAAGTTTACACTGTGATAAATGGGCATTTATTTATATAAATATATATACGTAATGTTGAAACTTTCAGCGGAATGAAACTTGATCAATATTTCGGAGTTTAGTTATGAATATTTTTGTAGAACCGAAGCACTTTAAGCACTTCTTTGTTCTAGCGATTTCAAGTATCCCGGAGTTAAATTCTTAACCATCACCTTTGTAAAGCTTGTAGGCATTATTCACTGTAGGCATTAGTAGACTCCACCGTAGCCGGTCCCGATCTTATGATCCGATCCAAGCTTAGATCGAGACTCTTTCGTGCGAGAGATAGAGGAATGCGAGGCACGAGTTAACTCCCTTTGCATAGTCTAGCAAATGATGGAAGTAGTTTACGAACCAACTGAGTGAGTGAGTGAGTTTAGATTTGCCGCACTCAGCAATAGTCCAGCTATATGGCGGCGGTCTGTAAATAATCTAGCTAAGATGCATAGCGTTCACTAATATGAGCATTCATGTTAGTGAACGCTATGTATCTTAGCTATAAATAATCGAGTCTGGACCAGACAATACAGTGATCAACAGCATGAGCATCAATCTGCGCATTTGGGAACCGATGACATATGTCAACCAAGTCAGCGAGCCTGACCACCCGATCCCGTTAGTGGCCTATTACGACAAGCATGGGTTATTGAAGTTCAATATTCTAACCCGGTCCTTCATGGGTATTTTGTCCAACCAAGTGTAAACGTGGAGAAAAAACCTAGAGCAAAATATTAGGGTAGTGAGCACCTTGGTTTCAGGTGCAAGTGCGTGTGAACGCTGGGTATCAGGCATGATATAATAATAATAAATGCATATTTATAGTGCGCCTATTCGACATCCTGGGGCATGCTCAAAGCGCTATGTACAGATAATTTACACGAGAGTATTTACAGCCGAGATTATAAGTAATATACTGAGAACAGGTTTTAAGTCTGAACTTAATTGTGTCAGAGCTTTTAATATGTGCCTGAACCTTGTCAATCAGAATAAACAAGGCGTGCCGAGGCTATAACGTATGTAGAACCTGTCAGTGGTCTTGAATAACACGCGGCCTGCCTTTAGAATCCCCAGAACATTGTTCACTTCACATCTGTCCCATAAAGGTGCACAATATTGTTGTACAAATGTGTTACACCGACTCGCTCGGTTGTGTTCCCATGACGACAGTGGTCAGACTGGCCTGACATTTGTAAGGCTTCAGTGCAGTGTTTGTTTACATCACAGAAATATACAAATTCATGGGGGGATTTTAGGGGACGCTCACGGTGAAATGCTCGCTCTTCTTCTTCTTCATATAGACTATGATAGCCACCACTTTGGTTTCTCTACGATTGATTTTAGCTATCCTAAGTTGGTCATGAGCAACTTAGACTTTGGATCTTAACTTTACGATTGACTTGAGTAAGATTTAAGAAATACACTTCGCTCTACCACCATGTATAGTGTAATAAAACACACTTTTGCCCTGAACTATTATAGTTAAAGCACGAGGACGCTTGCGTCCGAGTGCTTTAACGTTATAATAGTTCAGGGCGAAAGTGTGTTTTATTACACTATACATGGTGGTAGGGCGAAGTGTATTTCTTTTCTAAGATGCCAAATTTAATACTTTCTAAAGATAATTACGATTAATTTAAGGCAGAAAACAAACGACGGTGTCGGTGACCTAAATTAAGAATCCTCGCACAGGGCTAACTGGCGCGCTGTTCTTTTGATGTGTCTGCCCCCTACGTTAAGACGAACGTTACCAGAAAAAAAAACAAATGATAACAGTTTGATGACGGTTTACGTTCGGATTAAATATCTTCTCTGAATTATTTTAATTACATCTGTCATTAACGTAAACCATATGGGGCAATATGAACGTTGCATTTCTACTACCAGCGTAAGTTTAGATCAGTACATCCAGAGGAAGTTGAGTAGTCAAGCGACATTCCACAATTGCATTGTGGGAATGTAAACATTACGAACGTTACCGTGTCGCTGAAAACTTGTGAGTCAAACCAAGAAACTGGATGAAACGGTGTAGTTTACTGTAGGAGGCCGTACGAGGCGATGACAACTGACATGCATCGTGACGTCGCTTACATTGTGACGTAATGTAAAATGGTTCGATTACGAGGGGGCACACTAGAATGGCGCAGTGACGGGATAACGTCATTCAATTGTTACGTCATCAAAAAACTATACCTTTATTGTCTGATAATGTTTGTTTTTTTCGATTGTTCTAACCGCTAGGCATCTTAGAATGGTTATTGGAACGGTAAGCCGATCGTAACGTCACTCTAAGATTGGGATTTTAGGGTTTTACGATTGGCGTAGGGCTAAGATCGGTTAGTGGAACGGCACCCTGGTGAATTATGTAACAGTGGCGATATTCATACACCATGACGTCACAATGAAATTTTATACAAAATCGTTCTAACACACGGTAGATCAATTTACCTTTCTTTTAAACACAGGTTCAAGACCACGTCGACATGGCTGTAAAATTGCTTATGTGGCGTTCAGCAGGTTGCAGTAACTAGAAGGCTTAGGAATATGAATGACATATTTGGCGGACATTCTTCGTAAGATCCTCTCGTATGTCCAAAATATATATGATTACGTTGTTGTGATGCTAACATTTCTCTGCTGTTAATTCAAGTGTCTCGGGGGCGGTGGGGTAGCCTAATGGTTAAAGCGTTGGCTCGTCACGCCAAAGACCAGGGTTCGAATCCCCACATGGGTACAATGTGTGAAGCCCATTTCTGGTGTCCCCCGCCGTGATGTTGCTGGAATATTGCTAAAAGCGGCGTAAAACCAAACTCAGTCAGTCAGTCAAGTATCTCGAAATATGATGTACACATATATATTTCGAACCTAATAGATTCACGACTCAACAAGTGAAAAGACTACTTAGTAACAACTGACAGAAAATCTGCTCCCTTATCATTCAGAGATACCCCTTCTCCTTCCCTATTTCTTACGATGGAGAGGTATTCACATAAGGCATTACGTCCCGTTTTTCGTTAAACTTAAATCTATATTCTACTTAAATAACATAGGTTTAAACCAAGATATATAAGATTCAAGTAGTGTCAACAATATTGTATTCTCATATTGTAAAGGCTTCAAGGCCACGCCATTGTTGCAAGAATATTGTCGATAATATGTATTTCAGAGTCTCATAAAGCTATTACGTGCAAGCTGTTGAGTGATTAAAATCACCAAACTCCAGCCCAAGAGAGACGGCACTCATTATTCTCAACAAAGGCGACACCAATCACAAAAATAATGCAAGTAAACGACTTAAATACGTCGGAACAATCACGGTCTACGTAAAGAAACTCCATTGTTACAGACATACGTCAGTGTCGACCGTCCTTGTGGCGGCTGTTGCCTACGTTTAGCCCGAATCTTATATTAAGACAACTAAAAAATGAAGTAGATTTTTTTTATATTCAGAGAAAGTAATCATTGACATTTGAATAGAGGCGACAAAACCCTTTCCATATTCATATAAGAAATTGCTGAAAACAGTCAATTGTACAATTGTGACAATATCATGAGATATTTGTTTCAGCAG